TCTGTTTTGTCAGAATATTGTCAGTTGGCTAGTGGCTTCTGGTAAGGGCAGGTCACCCGTTCTGTCCATAGAAACTGAGGAGGAGGGGATGTTTGTCCAAAAAAACCTTTATTGTCCTTACTAAGTGTGAACAGTATTAATAAAGGTATGAATTACTTTTAAAGGGATGAGTGAAAGAGTATTCTCTGCCTACCAAGATGAAAAATAAGGTTTCTCTTAGGAGTTACTTCCATGTACAACCTAGTGTTGTGGTAGTCTGAAATGGATCTATTTTGATGACCTAGCTTTTATGATTTTTGTTACACTGCATAACTTTGTATACATTTAAATTATTGGGACACTTTATATAAGTTAACAGCCTAGAAACTGTTCCTTGACTTCAAAAACTGTAGAGAGGGAAACTTAAACTAGCATTCATACTAGAAAGCAATATATACTGTATTGAACCTTTGTCCGTTTAACACAATTCATTCAGAAGAACCCATTTTTGCCTCAGAATGCTGGAAAAAACCTGACAGAGATTCTATGCTGGATTAGAGGAAGATTGGATTCGTCACATAACTTTCCCTGGTGTGTTGTCTCATATCATAATTATCTGAAAGCAGACAGATTCTGAGGTGCTTTTTGCATTTGAAAGTGGCAGACAATGCATAAAACATCATCAAAAATTGCCTGGAGTTAGCAAATCTCTTCTTGAGATCATTTGGTACAATCTTTTGGCATAAAACTACCCATTAAAGAAGACTTTTATTTCCATTTCCTTCTCATCAGCAGCTTTCCCAACATAACTTCAGCTGAGTATGAATTAATAGTTTAATCATTAGTCTCTGACTTCAGGATCCTCTCTCGGAAATGACCCATGCTATTGGATCTGGTTTCTGTCCCAAAGTGTTTTTCAATTATGGTTTAACATACAGCTTTGTAGTGGCATCTTGTTTCAGACCCTGAAGATAAGTGAGCAGATCATTTCAGCAGCTCAGCTGGCCAGGGCAGCTAGGGACTGCGTTTCTCACAGGAGTGCACAGGCTGCACATGGCATTCAAGAGGCATTACGTTTGGCTTGGCAGCAGCTGTGCTGGAATGAAGGCTGGAAATTAGCGTTTGTGTTTGTCCTGCTGTAAGGTTTGAAACATATGTGAAGTGCTCTAGAAATTGGTAACAGCCCATCACTAAGGAAGTCACTGTTGCCAACTAGGATATGACACTGAATTGTACATTAGGGAAATTAATCTTTTCTTAGGGGTTGAATTACCCTGCCACATCACAGTGGGTAAGTAATTTTGCATCCATATGACCATCTATAAAATAATGCTTATGATAAGAACTAGGCATAGGTATATTTTTTTCTTTACGTATAGCTTATAATTAAATTTTACTGAGAACTTACCTGCAAATTTGCACTTTTGAAGATGCTAAACCAAGATAATCTAATTGAAAATAATGGTTTTCTAATGTTTGGGTTTTTAATAGAATAATTTGGAACACAGCAAAATTATAATTTAGTTCAATTTGTCTTAAGCTATGGAAACAAAAGAAACTGTGAATCCATAAGTGAAATACTGCTGTTCCCCAGAAGCTGCTCGGAGGATTTTTCTGTCAGATACCATCAGTCTTAATAGCTGACATCAGCCCTCTCAGTGTCAAAGATGAGCGCACAAGGGGTTCTCTGCCCGGAACTAATATTAAAAGAGGAGAAAATAGTTTTCATCCTAGAAGTTTTAAAAGCTGTGAATCTAAAATGCTTTTCACTACATACAACTATAAAGAAGATTCTGAAAGACAATTATTGGGCTGCTTCCTTTTTTTAGTACCTTTAAAAGATACAATATTGCTGTGATTTCTCTTGAGCTGTGCTCAAGTGTTTATAGATGTGGTGCAGAAGTTTACCTAGACTAACATAGTAACCTTCTAAAACTCAGAAACAGTGTTGCTATTCTGGACTGTGCCCAAAGGACTACTGAGTATACTTACTTTGAAATTGGGTTGTCAGTTGCTCCTAAAACCAGTTACTTAGGAACAGTGATGTTCCTGACTTAGTTCTTTTTGGTACCAATGCATGAACATTATTGTGGCAAATTATTCGTGAATGTGTGCAATGTTAAATTTAACAGTGGGAAGAAGAAGGTGGGGGCACTGTCCTGTAACAGCTAGAGTTTTGCAAGGGATGCGAAAAAGTAATGAAAAAAACTCTTGATCTTACCCTCTAGTTTAGAATACAGAAAACAGGCCAAAAATAATCCTTCCAAGATCACCTTCTTTGGTTTGGGAAAGTCCTTTCTGTGTGTCAGCTAGAATAATAGTTAAAAGTGTCTTTTGTTTGCTTGGCATTTACATTTGATTTATCAGTCTTGGCAAACTGATTTGGTTTTTAAATTGTGAGATAAGTGTATAAAATCTGATCAGTGGTTCTCTGTTAATAAGAATTAAATTAGTCTCATTTTAAAAACAAGTCCTTCAGTGTTAAATATAAGGAGCTTTTGCTGTACAGGAAAAAGTGGTGAGGCTTGGGTTTTTTTATATACAAAGGACATCTCTAAATTGACTTATTTTTTTCATATCAGTAGAAGATCTGAAATAATCACGTAATATAATTCACTCTTTGGTGGATGTTCATGCCTGAGCAGAAGGAAAACTGACATCTTGCTTTCAAGTATGGTTTGAATTGTTACTTTGTGCACTTTAGAAATTATAGGTAGTTGCTATACAGTCTGGCTTCAGAAGGTGATTTGTTTTCCTGCTAAGAATAGTGGAGAAATCCGTCTGTAGAAATGCAAGTCTACTGAAAACCTTTTTCTTCAAAGTTCCTTTCTTTTATCTCCAAAAGGGGAAAAAATATTCTGTAAATTTCTATCACACAAATTAAAATCATTGATCCAAAAGTTAAGTAGTTACAATTCTCAGTAGTATTAATCTAGAGGTTTTTCTATGTAAATGAGATGCTTGCTAGGAATTTCAAGTCTCTTCATTCTGTATGTGATGAAAGGGAAGACCTGTGTTTTGAGGCTGATGCCAGAAACATGCAGTGGTAAATACTGCTGGCACATGGTTTTGAAGTGACATGTAACTGCTGCTGGCTGCTGAGGATTAGCTGTTGTCAGCCTGCTTTAGATTTAAAAGTTAATTTAGGTTTTTCACTCCCACAGCTGAATGAATAATTTTCTCCGTGCAGGGTAAGTTAGTATCTTTATAGAAGATTTTCGTTAAAATATTGTCCTTCTGTGTTACGTGAGTAAATTCAATACTGGAAAGTACAGTTACTTGTGTTGTGAATAAAACTGGGTTGTTGAATGTGCGTGGGAGGGTTTGCCTATGTAAATAAGAAACTGCAACTACAGGCTCAGAGTTTCCTGAGGACTCCTTTTCTCCTTAACGCTTTTGGTTTGACAGCTTTCTTACTCCGTATTAAGAGATGTTTGCCATTATTCTTGCATTGATTACACACAGACACATGCACACAAACATGCACATTTTCAGGCTTAATTTTCTTCAGCTTTTATTTGGCTCACATAAAAGAATACCTAAATTTCTGCCTCAGTAAATACCAGCAATTGCTAATGTGGTTGTAGTTAGAGAGCACTGATTCTCTTGCTGTGCATCCATGGTGTCTGCTGAATGCTTTCTTGAATAAATAAAGGTTATTTTTAACTTCAGCACTTTCTTTAACTGAATGGTTAAATCCTGTTTTCCTTTAGTTGTGCTAAAAGATACTACTTCTACATGTAGAAAAAGCTGATATTAATGTATAAGTAATAAATGTCAAGATTCTTTTTCTGGTACAGTTGAACTATGTTTGACAAATAGTAGGCTGGTTTCAGATATTAAGAGTATCGTGAATTAAAATTGAAAAGGGGATCAGTATTCCTACTACCTATCCAATACTATTATTTTGCAGGCTGTTGCTGACATAAAACTCATTGTTTAATGGCATTGTTATTTCCAAACTCTCCAAGTTTCTAAGGAGAAGGCATCTTTAAAATGTCTTTTTAGCAGCTGGGGGTTTTGGCAAGGGTTATTACCCTTATTGCTTTGATGGACCCAAAAGGAAAAGGCTGGATTTTGAGAGGTACTTTTTAAAATGTATTTTTGTTCTCAAGTGAGACCTGTCTTAGAGAGAAGGTGTAAACATTTCTTTTTTCTTTACCTTTTTATGACTGCTGTGCCTGTTATTAATTAAGGAGGTAATGTGAATGCTCAATTTTAGGCTTAAGTTACAAAAAAAATCAATAAAATATCTAAGAAATGGTGTTCTACTTGGTATCAACAGGTAGATTTCAGTGCAGTTCTGATTATTCTCCTGCTATCTGATTTATGTGTAGTTTACTCTGTATTTATAGCAGTAATCTAAAGCTTCCACTCCCCAGTAAAACCCTAGAGGGTGAACTGCAGTACAGATTCCTTGAGTTCCTGTGGCATATGCTGACCTTGCAGACTTGTCCAGCTGCAGCTGAGTCCACTTATATTTCTGAATTTACAGGCATATGTGTCTCTGTAATTGTAAAGTCCATCTCCTGTCAAGCAAGTTTTATGAGGATACTTTGAGGCATGAGTAGCAGCTACATTTTTTTAATTATTATTGTTATATTCAGTGATAGCCACTGACTACACTAGTTCAGAAAATTAAGCTGTTATAAATTAAAACAATTCCAACCAAACCTGTCAATTTTTGATATAAGCTTTGTGTTCCAAAGAACTGAATGTATTTTGGGGTTGAAAATAAGTGCTTAAGATCAAAGAAACAAGGTAGCATATTGTGGGTGCTGCATCTTTTCCATCATGGGATTTATGTGAGGATTCCTTCTGCACATGGTGATCATTTACCATAAGATTCTGATAGTACTGTTAAAATATTAATGCAGCAGGATCCAGAAGATACACATTGCTGAAAAAATACATAAGGCTGTCCAACTGTTTTGGCATACGAGTTGCTGCTTGTGTTTCAGACTCTACGATAAAGCACAACCAGATGAATCTCTACTGACCTTCCAGGGGTCCTGGCAGATGCAGTGGGTGTGTAACCTGTTGAGGCTTAAGTCAAGCAGTGCAAAGAAGTTGAGCCATCTATTGAATTACCGGGTGTTCTTCTCAGATTACTAAATTAAGTTACATATAACTTTGTATACAAAAGGCAAAAATTTTGTTACAAACTGCGTCCAAATTGCTTGACTTTTGTCTTAACCTGGACAGAGCTTCTTGTAGTCATGCCTCTGCTTTGTTTAGTCCTTGGGGTGCTCTCCTCAGAGGCTGGGAAAAAGTACAAAGTTAATTCAGAATTGGACCAAGACAACTATTAGTAGAAACTTCTCCCTGAATACAAATTTAGCACAGGCTTACAGCCAGGATGTGAATGAAATTGCAAGTACTCCTAACTTACCTTTTGAATCTTGCAGCTGTAGTATGTTAAGATAGGATGCAGTTAATTAATATGTGGTGGCATCTACTAAATCTTGAAATGCAAACTTGAACAAAATACTAAAATGATTCGTACTTCTGCCTATTCAGTGTCTCTTGATCGCTACCATACAGATCCAAGAGATCCAGTTTAATTCAAATTAAGCCTGTCGCAAAAGTAAAAATTTTATGCTTCTACCTTTATTTTTTCAAACATATGCTTCATTCATTGCTTCTCATAAATTCAATTTTTGCCTATCTCATTAATGCTGTGAATTGCTTGTGACTTTGGTGCATTGTTCCCTTTCAAGACAGACTTGTCTTCATGTTTAAAAATCATCTTTACTGAGTAACTTCTATTGCCTCAAAATTAGTACCAGCGGATAGGCCTTTTCTGTGCAGTGTTCCATCACATTTTAAAAAAAACTCTTTCATGCTGCAGTGCTTCTCAATATGAAAAAGTTTGGTTATGTGTGTTTTTACTATTTACAGCCCTTTAAAATAGGGAGGAGTAGGCTCTTAGGACTACTAAAAGACCTGTCTGCAGCTGGGATTGAGCTTGATTTATCTGGCAGCCAGAAGGGCTGGACTGTAAGTCTCCAGAGCTAGCAAATCATTCCTTAGGGCTGGTATTGCTTTTTGGATGGACTATGTTAGACATGTTAGTTGTTTGGCAGTCTGCAAACAACAATTCTGACTGTGTAAAAGATGTGAGCTGAAATAACATATATTAGAAATATACAACTCTGCCTAATAATTTGCTGCTTGGCAAATTGCCTTCACTACTGAGTACACAGGAGTTTACAGTTTATGAATACTTTAAAAATTGTATTTAAGTGCTCAGAAAAAAGAATAATCATAATCATGCTGTTCAACTGTTTA